GATGGATAGATGAATGGATGGATAAATGGATGAATGGATGGGATGAATGGATGGATAAATGGAATGGGATGATGGATGGTTAGATAGATGGATCAATGAGTGTTGTCACATACCTGTTGTCGACTAGCTAAAGCACTGACTGTATTCCCTGACAACACAGCTCCCTGTAATACACTATCAGGTACTGGTGTAAACCTGTTGAAAAACAACACTGTATCGTTATAAATGTGTACCAAACAACAACACAACTTACCCATCAAGTCTTGATTACTAATCCATCTTTGCGAACAAAAATACTGTTAAATTCAGGACCAAAAATCCCCATCTTCATTGATATTTGCCAACAGTGGCACAGCTCAAGAGGGTTGAACTCAAAGCATATAAAGCCACCTTCATAGCCCCTATATATAGACCATGTATGACCCCGGAGCACAGCTCTAACCAGTTTGAATTACTTAGGGTCGGATTGAGAGGAGGGAGGAAAAACCTGAGGGCTGAGGTTCTCTTACTGAGGGCTGGAAATACCCTCAGGAAGAGAACCAACCAACTCAGCTCACAGACGGCAACTGGGAATCAAATGCTGGACCTCAGAGATGAGATGCAAGTGTTTTAACAAGGTACCATTGTGACTCCCCAAACAACACACCATACACCTTTCTCATAAATGGCCCCAAACACAGTTGGGACTGGGGCAATTGAATGGAAGCGAGGTCAGAAAGGCCTCACCCATAAAAGAACTTGAATTGGTGAGATGAATGACTTTGACACAAAAGTTCGTACTGAGTAGACTTTGTTTACTAACAAGGCCTTTCTGACCTCACTTCCATGCAATTGTCCCTAGTCCCAACCACGTTTGGCAGCCATTTATGAGAAAGGTGTATTGTGATTATATTTTACATTTTAGTTTTCTAAAGCTTGGGTTTATTTTTACTAGTCTAATGAGTTTGGAGTCACCCCTTTATTTTTTATTTAAATAGACAGTAACGTTACTTACTTCTCTCCCTTGGGATTTCTTTGTTTTTTACTGCGGTAATCACCCACTTCAGGGATGTTCACCCAATCATCTTCAGATACTTCTGTTAACTTCCTCTGTTGGTAAATATATCTAAGTTAAGGCCTTTTTATATTTATAACAATGCAGGTATATTTATTAACCTAATAATCTTTGCTTTAGATGTGATACAGTGTGTATTCACCCAGACATGGACCTTCTTTACTGTACCTACACCCAGTCTTTTGTCTGAGATAAAACATAATGCATTGTGGTCTAGCTTTGTTCATCTTGCCTCATATGGTGTTAATAAAAGCTAGACCTTAGATATTCTGGTCTAGGTAAGGTATAAATTAACAAATTTTGTTTATTATGCCTTATATGGTGTTGATCTAGCTTGACCTGGGATAGGGAACAAGGTGCATTCTGGTCTAGTTTGGGTACAAACATCTTTTGTTCATCATGCCTTATACAGTACAGTTATTTGTACCCAAGCTAGACCATACCTCACAATGAACAGCATGATGCATTCTGGTCTAGCTTGGGTACAATATGTGAATTATGGTATTGCTTACTCTGAAACATCAGTAACTGTACAATGTACTGTACAATGCAGACCACTTTAAAATGTTTGTACAACATAGCAAAGGCCTGTGATCAAAAACCTTTGTTTATGCTTGTCAAAGTATACTAATCCAAAACTGAATGAATGAATGAACAACCAAGCAAGAGACTACCCAGGCCAAAATCTACACATTGATTGTTATTATTCAAGGTGGCTGCCACCTTTTGAACGTTCGATTTGAGCCCATGATGTGCGTGCTCTCAAAAACCGCTGAAAAATCTACAAGATTTTATTGAAGAACCATACTCGTTTTGAGCTTCAACAGGGCAAAACCCTCAAATTTTGCACAGGACTCTCTATTTCTTAATAGCTCATTTGAAAAAACTCCTAAAAATCTAGGTTATATCAACATTTTAGAAAAAGTTTAAATCAGTAACACCCTGGTGCAAATCCTGAGCAGGATCCTGTAAGATCCTATAAGATCCTATTTAGGAATAGGATCCTGAATAAGATCCTGAGTAGGAACAGGATCCTGAATAAGATCCTGAGTAGGAATAGGATCCTGAGTAAGATCCTGAGTAAGATCCTGAGTAGGATCCTAGATAGGAACAGGATCTTACACAGGAATACATTCCTGTATAAGATCCTAAAGAGGAACAGGATCCTGAATAAGATCCTGTACAAGATCCTAGATAGGATCCTGAAAAGTGGTTTTAATTTGGTAGTCATAGGATCCTAACCAGAATCCTATAAGATCTTGAATATTTATCTATGATCATGAACAAGATCCTAAGTAGGATCTTGAATAAGATCCTAATTGACTAGGAACAGGATCCTAGGTAGTTTCTTATAAGATCTTGGACAAGATCCTAAGTAGGATCTTGACTAAGATCCTAATTGACTAGGAACAGGATCCTAAGTAGTTTCTTACAAGATCTTGAACAAGATCCTAAGTAGGATCTTGACTAAGATCCTAATTGACTAGGAACAGGATCCTAGGTAGTTTCTTACAAGATCTTGAACAAGATCCTAAGTAGGATCTTGACTAAGATCCTAATTGACTAGGAACAGGATCCCAAGTAGTTTCTTACAAGATCTTGAATAATCCTAAGTAGGATCTTGACTAAGATCCTAATTGACCAGGAACAGGATCCTAAGTAGTTTCTTACAAGATCTTGAATAAGATCCTAATGTTATCTTGACCACTTAAAACCTTGAGTATATTTAATTTAGAAATTATAAGTCTGAGTGATAGTTATTTTTGTAAGTTCTTGTAATAATTGCATGAGCCTTTAAAATGCTCTTATTGTGTTTCTCATGACCAATCTGAATCAAGTAATATTATATTATTGATTTATGGAGATTGATTTAGTTCCTCTCTGTCAACGTAACACCCGTTTTGCACAGACATCTTTTTGTGAATAAAGTTATTATTATAAGCAAATTACTGTCAAG